CCCCCCCCCCCCCCCCCCCCTACCTACACACCCGTTATTGGCCATGTGTTGTGTTCTTCTATGTGGTTGTGTGTGCAGGGTGTCAAACAAGGAGTACTTGGAGTTCATGCAGGACGGCGGATACACCACACAGAAATATTGGACCGTAAGCAGCCAGCAAGCCAGGCAACCACCCACAAGAAAGCCAGCCCACTCCCCTGTCTCTTTCTTTCTGTGTCTGAGTTCAGGCGGAAGGTTGGCAGTGGGTGCAGGACATGCAGGTGACCAAGCCCCTCTTCTGGATACCCCCAACTGACACACACACCAAGTGAGACTACCCACACCCCACAAACCCTTCCGCCATCCAACTAGACATCACTCCTCTTCTGTTCATGCAGTGTTGCTTGGCGGCTGCGTTGTCTGACGAGCGAGATCGAGATGCCGTGGGACTGGCCAGTGGAGGTCAACAACCTCGAGGCCAAGGCCTTCTGCAACTGGAAAGCACACAAGATGAGTGGCGCACCGATTCGGCTGCCGAGCGAGGAGGAGTGGCATTTGATGCGGCGGCTGGTGGTGCCTCTCGGTGAGGACCAGCCCGACTGGAAGAGGGCGCCCGGCAATGTCAACCTCGAGCACTGGGCGTCGTCGTGCCCCGTCAGCACCTTCAAGCAGACTGACAGCGGTGCGTGGGGTGGGGTGGGGGAGAGCTGCACTGCAGGAACTCACCTGCATTATCTCCATCATCTGTGCGTGTGTGTGTGGGTGTGTCAGGTCTATACGATGTGGTTGGCAATGTATGGCAGCACACCGAGACGCCCGTGGACGTCTTTGACGGATTCGCCGTGCACCCCCTCTACGACGTGAGCAGCCCCACACACATGCAGCCAGGCAGGCAGCCACCCAATACACACGCTTTTCGCTCTCGATGAGCAGGATTTCACGACACCTACGATCGACGGCAAGCACAACCTCATCAAGGGCGGCTCCTGGATCTCCACCGGCAACGAGGCCACGACCGACTCGAGATACGCATTCAGACGACACTTCTACCAACACGCTGGCATCAGGTGAGTGAAAGCAAACACCGCCGGCCATCACACACGCAACGCACAACACAAACTCACGGTGCGGTGCGTTCGAGTATGCAGATATGTGGAGTCGGCAGCCGTCGTCAAGACGACAGTGTGTCCGTTTGAGACCGACAAGCTGACGGCCGACACCATCGCCTTCCACTACCAGCCCCACCCCTGGACCAAGGCAGACAGTTTTCCGACGCTCCTCGCAGAGTACGTCAGTCAGGCAGTCAGTCACTCAGGCAGAACACCATCATCTGCCTCATGTGATGTGTGTGCCTGCCCACAGGGAGTGTGTGTCGGCGGTCAAGGCGGTCGGCATCCCGCTGCACATGTCCAAGGCCCTCGGTCAGTCAACCCCAACAGTCACGCCACACACATATGGATGGATGGATGGATGGATCGAAACTCAGAGTTTGGCTGTGGCGCGGGTCGCACCACGTTCGAGCTGGCACACAAGTTCTTCGACACCGTCCACGGGGCAGACCTCACCGCACGGTACACACACACACACAAATGGCCATCTGTATTGTGCCCTGCCCCATCTATGTGCGTGTGGTGGGGGTGGTATGCTGTCTGTGCAGATACTTCCAAGTGGCGGATCGGTTCATGACCAACGGCCGCATCCGCTATGCCATACAGACGGAGGGCGACCTAGTCGAGTACCCGCCCGAGATCGTCGCCAAGGACTTCGCCTTCCACCAGGCCATCGACGATCCTCACAAGTGAGTGTGAGATGGAGGAGGCCATCCATCCATCCATCCATATCCATCGCTCTCTCTCTCTTTCTCTCTCTGTGCGTGTGTGTGTGTGTGTCACAGGAAGATTCAGTTCCACCAGGCCGACGTCGCCAACCTGGACATCAACAAATTCAACGAATACGGTACACCCACCCACAGACACCCACACACCACAACAGCCGCCACCCGCATACACCACGTATGTCTGTCTGCCTGTGACTCCATCCATCCACCAGATCTGGTTGTGATGGCCTCCCCTGGCTTCATCGAGTCCCTCAGCAAACCCAAAACCGCCCTCCAGGCCATCCACAAGCACATCAACCCCGGTGGCCTCCTCGTCATCGGCTACACGGGCAAACCGCCCACCCACAAAACAGAGGAGTGCATTGGCGGCTATCTCTCGGCCAGCGGCCGTCAGGTGAGCATCGAGGAGGGGCTGACGGCCCTCCTCTCGCCTCACTTCGACGCCGTTGCGGAGCTGCCGGCCACTGAGCTGCCGTATTGTGTGCGGGACACCGCCCGCAAGACGGAGGTCGGCTGGGTGCGGCTGACCTACTGGCGGCGCAAGCAAGACGATGACCAGCTGGCGGGTGGGGGCGTGGTGCTCCCTGAGCCACTGCTGGAGACAGAGAAGGAGAAGCAGGGCGGCCCTGAGGGCATGTACGAGACGCCGCAGATGGTCAACGTCTACCTAGACATGCACTTCAGCACGGTAAGCTCAGCTGCGCGGGAAGGGCAGGCAACAACACACACATCATCCCGCAGGCATTATTCTCCTTGTTGATCTATGTGTTGATCGATCAGGATGTGTTCAACGGCGTGAGCAACTACCCCGCCCGCTGCGCCGCCCTCTGCGGCCAGCTCTTCCGACAGCACGGCCCGTTGGTCGTCCCGCTCACCGACACACGATGCCTGGAGGTGGGCGGCGGGGTGGGACGTGCCACCATGGAGCTCTCCAAGCACTTCCACCAGGTGACTCCGCCCCACACCCCACACACACGCCCCATCATTGATCACTTCTCCCTCCCTGTCTGTGTGTGTGTCCACCAGGTCGTTGGATCGGACTACTCGCAGGCCTTTGCGGCCGCAGGCAGCCAGGTGGTTCGTGAGGGGCGGGTGGAGTGGCGTGTGGCCACGGAGGGGCGGCTCACAGAGCGGAGGGAGGTGACGTTCGACCAGCTGGGGCTGACCGACAAGAGCATAGCGGACCGGGTGAGCTTCCGCCGGCTGGACGCGATGGCGCTGCCGAGTGCTGAGGCGATGGGGGGCAAATTCCACCTGATATTCGGGGGCAATCTGCTGGTATGGACCGCTGCACACGTGGAGGGACGGGACGAGTGGGTGGGCGGATGTTTGCTTCTCTCACTTTTGTGGTGTGTGTTTCTTGTCTTGTCTTGTCTTGTGTCCGTTAGTGTCGTCTGCCTGACCCTAGCAAGTTCCTGACGACCGTGCATCAGTTGTTGGAGCCGGGCGGACTGCTCGTCTTCACCTCACCGTACGCACACACACACATGGATGTGTGTGTGTATCTCTATCTCTCTCTGTGTGTGTTTTCAGCTGGACGTGGCTGGAGAGCGTGACCCCCAAGGAGCTGTGGATAGGGGGATTCAAAAAAGATGGAGAGGTACCACTCATGCGACCAGGCACACACACACACAGAGAGAGAGAGAGAGAGCGAGAGAGAAAGGGAGAGAGGGGGAGGGAGGCTCACCTGCTGCCCTTGCAGGACTACACGAGTTTGGAGGGTCTCCGTGACATCCTCTCCTCCTCACGCAAGGGACGGCTGCCTGGCGGGAAGGCGTCAAACCGATTCACTGAGGTGAGCGATCGATGGGAAACTCTCAACCACCGCACCTGACTTGACTTGAGCCTCTTGTGCATGTCGTGTGGTGTCATGTGTGTCAGGTGGTCCCGGCCGAGAGGGAGGTGCCCTTTGTGATCCGCGAGTGCAGCCGGGTGTTCCAGCGGACCAGCGCCATGCTCACGGTGTGGCGTTTTGACGGATGACTGAGTGGTGATGACCGAAAGATGGGATGGCTGGACTGTTGCGGTGCATGGGTACGTGCGTCGTGTGTGTCGTGTCGTTCATACGCTTCATTCGTTCACTGTCCATACGTCCGAACGTTCATAGTGTCTGAATCACACAGCAGGCACACATATATTATCATGGGCATGATGGATGCGTGGAAGGGGTGCATGCGATGGGGGGTAGTGGGCCTTCGTTCCTCTCTTCCTTTCAACTCGAGTCAGCCAACCACAGACCAGACACACACACACACACCCTGGCCACACACACCCGCTTGATGGGCGGACTGACAAATGAACCGGTCGAGTCCGTCCACTGGGGGTGTGACTGTGGGTGTGAATGTGTGAGTGGGTATGTGTGTCTCCATTCATTTGCGTCAAGCGCCTCCATGCTAACTGCATACATACATGTTGGCTGCGTGTCTGGGAGAGGTCACTGGGTGGGAGCAGGGGCCTGCCTGTCTGCCTGTCTGGCCGTCCGTCTGTGTGTGACAATCACCTGAGAATGTGTGAGTGGACGAGGGACAGTATGATATAGCAGCCCACCTGTGTGTGTGTGTGTGTGTGTGTCTGAGGGCTGCGTGAGCGTTTGCAATCGGGGCTCTCTGCGATCGGTCCGTGCTGTGCTGTGCAATCCCTCTGTGGCCTTCATACGCCTCTTTCTCTCTCTGGTGTGCTCGCAGAGATGACGGGCACTCGCTGTTCATACACACCACACAGGGGCTGGGTTCGGGTGGGTTGGTCTGGAGTGAGTGGGTGGTGGTGGTGCGAATAAGATGGAATTTGCCTTCTTTGATCCAAGCACAGGGTGCCACCCCTTCCCCCTTGACCCCCCCATCCTTTCGGCTGGGTTGTGTGCGTGCGTTGGGAGGGGGTGGGGGGCCTGCATGAGTTTCAAGATCCTTGCACACCTACTGAACACGTTTATGCACACACGAAGATAGAGAGACAGAGACTGACGACTTTTGAATCGAGCTTCCCTTCCGTCGCGTCGACAACAGTAGAATCTGATGCCATCATACCACCGTGTTTTCTTCCGTCAGCCACGAAGACACACACACGGAATGTCGTCACGGTGCGTGCAGGTCGACAGCAGACAGGAAATATAAAACGTAGGCAACGATCTGCCACTCTACCACCACACACGTACGCGCATCCACTGGCATGCGCGCCCCAGACAGGAGTGTGTGGATGGTAAGGGTAATCGCATCCTCGTCTCCCTCCCCTGTCTCCGTTCGGGGAAACATGTCGCCGCCTTCAACTCTGCTCGGCTGCCCGGAGGGACTTTGTTCGTCGTCCCCATCGTCAGCTGTCTCTTCAGCGGTCTCGTCTTCATCGCCACCATCATTGGCAGCGGTCTCGTCCTCATCCCCATCCAATACTCGTTTCTCTTAAGCGCAAGATATAGGTCGACAAATATAAACTGTAGGTAGCGGTTGAGAAGACCTGCGCAAGCCAAAGTGGGCATACAGGTGTGTCTCCGCATCTCTTTCAAGTGACAACAGAATAACTCCACCTGGCCGGCAGCCGACGCATACACTGAGATGCGCAGCAGCAAGTACCCTAGCACAATCAACACCCACAAGGGCACCAGACCTCAACCTGACAACCAACCAACCAACATACGCAAGAGATGCAATTGCAGTGCCGATAGTGTCCCTCTCCCTTTTCGCTCGTTCTCATTCTCACCACATGGCCTTCATCCAACAGCCGAGACATGATGATGTGGAGGCCGGCAAATATAAAATGTAGGCAGCCATCAAAGCCGGCCGACTGTCTCCGGGGAGCGCCCAACACCAGCCGCCGTGCGGAAAAGGAATCCCTTACCCGTGGCCTCGCGCTCAATGCCGGTCGAGTTCTGCTGCAGGTTGAGCTGTGTCTCTTTGCTGCCGTGGTGGCCATTATGGCCGTTCCGCGTCCTTCCATTCCCGTTGTGGACGCCCTGCCTGTTGGGGCTGCCGTGCTTCAGTCCAGCCTCATGTGTCTTCTTCCTGCATTGGGGCGCCATCTGCAGACGTCGATCTCTCGGCTTGCTAGAAAGCGGGGCCCCTGACGCTTGCAGAGAGTAGATTACGAAGCCCCCGAGACCAATCACTTCACCACCCCCACCAGATTCTCAATGAAGACGGCGACACCTGTGATCAGCTGCCAAAAGCACTACATGTGCGATACACAGGACCAGTGCAGATCCGCTGCATCGTCGCGAGAAGCCACATCGACACCAGCGCCGACTCTTTGCTCCACCCCCAGCCCGTCCTCCAGCCCCACCCCAGCCGCAGCCGCAGCGGTTGATGCAATTGCCTCTCTGAATCGCCTGAAGAGGAGAGAAGGGCACGCCCACGGCCATCACCGCACTTTTTGCGGACACTTTATGCTGCAGGGGGAAAAGAAGGGGCGGCAAATTTGAACAATGACACTCAGGAAGAAGTGCTCACCTGACGGAGACGAAGGTATGGCGCACTGCCCAGCTGCCAGGCGGACGACAGGCACTCGCCAGCCGCTACGCAGAAGGCGGGTCGCCACCTGCCGTGCCACGGAGGTTGAGCAAAGAAGTGGCGGGCGGCTCCGGAGAGGGAGGCATGGGAGGGGGGCGGACCACAGAAACCTATAACCAGCTCGAACGGAAAAAGAAACAGAGGCGATGTGGCTCACAAAAGGCTGGAGAGCTGCGAACGGCCGAAATGCAAAGAATGAGTGGAAAAAAAAGAAAAAGAGACGCCGGGTCGAGAACGTCGAGAAAATGCGAGCTCAAAGAAGAGGTAAGATGCAGTTGGCATTCGCTTTCTCGCTACTGTTGGCTCAAGCGCTGAGCACCATCACTGCAACGCGAAATCTTCAGGTCAGCTCATCCATCTATCGCACCAGATGCTGATATGTCTGCTGCAGTCTTCTCCTGTCTGTGTGTGTGATGACATGTAGGTCGCTCTCGAGGCGGCAGAAGGATTCATCCCTTCTGGTCAGTCTCCACGACAAAGCGCCATCCTCTGCGCGTGTCTTGATTCATGTTTGCAGGCGGCGCTATCAACGCTCCTTCTGCCCGACTGAGGCGGCACTCGAGTGAGCTCTCCTCTTCCCGTTCGCGGCGCCCTCATACCATGCGGATGGCTGCGGGGTTCCCCGTCAACAACGCTGACGCCAACCAAGTGGCCAAAGTGGAGGTGCGGCCAAGGCAACGCATGCATGGCGATGCAACCTTGCTTGTTGGTCGTGTGTATGTGTTGCTCTTAGGTGTTCATGGACATGATTTGCCCCTTCTGTGCCAAAATCAGCAACACGCTCATCAAGGAGGTCGCGCCAAGTGAGTGAGAGGAAACAAGCTCCCACATCTCTCCGTTCCTTGAATCATCTCATATGGTGTGTCATCCATCTCATGGTGGGTGTGTTGTGCAGGGTTCCCGTCTGTGCAGTTTGTGTACCACCACTATGTGCAGCCGTGGCACTGGCAGGCATCCACGCTCGGACAGGCAGCCATCGTCGCGTACATGGTGAGTGAACAGAGAGACTGATGGATAGATACCCCCACCCTCACCCCACTTTATCTCTTCTCTCTTTGGCCGGCAGCTTGACTCGGCTCCAGGGAAGCCCAACTACGTGGCCCTTGTGCAGCAGCTGTTCGCCCAGCGTGACCTCTTCGTGGACCAGGCTGTCGAGGGCGAGTCCAAGGCACAGGTGGCCGACAAGATAGTCAAAATCGCTGCCGACGTTGGCTTCAACGCAGAGCAATTCAAGGTGGGCCCGAGACAGAGATGAGCTGCTTGTCTGTGTGTGTGTCCGAGGGCTTACATGCTTTATGTCCACGTGTGGATGTGTGCAGACCTATATGACGTCTGGGACTCCCGAGAATGATATGGTGGTCAAGGAGCAGAAGCTTCACACCAAGTACGGCAGACAGAATGGTCGGTGAAGCCAGATTAGACCCGCTACTTCACGCAGACACCCGATTGCCCTCGTGACGTACGTGTTTGTTTCATGTGTTGTGTGACTGTGCAGGCATCCACGTGACACCGACAGTGATTGTCAACGGCCTCGTGGACAACGCGATATCATCGGGCTGGACCATGCAGCAGTGGTCTGACCATCTCAAGAATGCCTACGGCGCCTGAGGACAGCTTTTTATATGGGAGGTACATGGATGACAGCTGTGGCGTGGTCATCAGACAGACAGACGGACGGACGGGTCGAGAGACTTACTTGTCGACCGTCCTGGGGATTTTGTGCCGTTTCTACTATGTGAGTGCTTGGGGGATGGTGGGAGACCTTATTTATTATTCATGTCATGCCTATTATGATCGACCAAACTTCATCAATAAAATGATTGATGTCCTTTTGTCGTCTTTCGGTCTAGATACACGAATCATCCTATCCCATGCTATGTAGCATCCACAAATCGCCCAAACCCTCAAATTCATCCTTCCTGAACCCGAATGACGCACCATCTCCCCACCCCAACCACCCTTTCACCCAAGATGACACAGCATCCACACTCCACCCCTCCCCCATCGATTTGGCTACCAGCCAGTACGGCACCCTCTTGGTCAAATCCATCGAAGAAACCGCCTTCTCACACTGGAGAGATGAGGACGGCAGCGAGAGTTTGGGGCATGAGGCCATGCAGGCCTCTTTGGTGAGTGTGTCGTTTGTTGGCGCGCATGTGATCCCGCCGTCGAATGGCGTGGCACATGTGTCAGTTGCGGGAAGGTGGGAGCACTGGTCTGCACATCTGGAGGTGAAGTGTGTCGCTGCGTCTTGCCAGATGGTCGCGACGTATGGGTGGCAGTGGACGAGGAAGTGCAGCCGGGGGGCGGGCTCGTTCATGAGCTCCATCTCTACAGCGGGGCCTACCTCAGCGCCACCATCGGCAGATGTCTCAGGCTCTTCGAAACAAGACACAGGGAGACACATCGATACGGGTGAGGTGAGTGGAGAGTGCTGTGTCTCCCTCTCACAAACCATCATTGTCAGTTGTGGTGGTGTTTGTGTCGTCCCCCATCTGTCTCTTCGCCAGGATCTCACCAACGCGCGCCGGCATCCCCTCCAGCTCCACACCCAGCCGCCGCAGCTCCATGAAGAAGTGCAGGAACTCCGGTGAAAGCCGTCTCAAGCTCGGCCCTCCCCCTACCCCGTCCAGCCCGAATGCCCGCCTGAAGTTCCGGTTGGTCGGCCGCCATTCCTGGTCGAAAGTCCACCTCTCGAGGTCCACCATGCAGCCGCTCTCCAATCCCTCAATCAGCGGGTCAATGCCATCCACGCTCTGGCCATTGGTGCGTCTCCCTTTCTTCAGCTCCCTCAGTGCTCTGTCCCAGTCCATCGTGCCGGCGGCCATCTTGTCAAATGCGGCTTTGAAGGTGTTGAAGTCCGTCTGGGGGCTGTAGAGGTGCAGCACATGGAGGACATGCCGCCACCACTGCAGCTCGGGGTAGTGGTTCGGGATGATCCAGTCCTGTCCCCTTGGCTGTTGGGCTGCGCTGCCGTTCCGCGACCCGGCCATCTCGAGAGCGGCGAGCATGAGGCCCATTCGGTCGACGTCGTCACCCGAACACTCTTCCGGGCATTTGGTGCTGATTGTGAAGTCGAGAAGCTTCAGAGAGAGGTCCCTCTTGCGCAGCATGGCGTTGCCGAAGTGCAAATCATTGTGCACGCGGCTGTTGGGGGGCCGCAGCATGGCCGCCAGCGCGACTAGGGGGCGGAGCATGAGCACCCGCAGCTGCCATCTCTGCATGTCGTTGACGATGTCGATGTCTGCGGTGCCGTACTGTTTGTGGTCGACGTACTCCAGCAGGATGTAGGCGGGGCTCATGGGGTCGGGCAGGACGTCCTGGTAGCAGTCGACGAACATGGGGCGGGTCGATTCATCTGTCTTGGAGACGATGAGACGGTTCAGGGGACACTCGTTCTCTATCAGCCTTTTCGGCAGGTGCACACACAGACACGCAGACACTGAGACCATCATTAACGGCCTTTGTGTGCATGTCTCCCTCACCTGGCCGACAATCATGACGCAATCTGAATGGTACCGGTTTCTGAACAGCTTAAGTGCCATGGTCACATTGTCTGAGCGCCTCACGACCTTGTACACATACCCAAAGCCGCCCTTCCCCACTCTGCGGCGGATCTGGAAGTCAGCCGACAGCCGCGTCAGTGCCGTCTCTTTCTTCATCATGCAGAGAGTCCCCGCCGCCATAGAAGAGGCCAGCACATGCAGCAGAAACGCTGCAAACGGCAGCAGAAACGGACGCATCGCCCTATCGTCGGTCGGTCGGTTAAGGGTTTGACGAGACACCTATCGTGTTCTTGAGACGGCGAGCTTGACACGGGGGTGGTGGGGGGGACAACACAGCGTCACCAGACGACCAGCTGGAGCCCGACCTGTGTGGGGTCTGAGGCCGCAAGGCCATTCCTTCTGCCCTGACGTTCATCCTCTAGCCCCCCGGATGGAATGGCTGCTAGTGGTGCTCCTCCCTCGTATGATGACTACGACAGGCCGGCTTCCGGCCAACCAATGGTCACGGCGCAGCCTGTTGTCGTCTTCTCACACCAGACGGGAGCACCGCAGACCGTGGGCGCACCAGCACCAGCTCAAGCTCCGCAGCAACAAGTCATCCATGTCACGCACTCTCAGCCGCCGCAAGCCCCGCCCCAGCAGCATGTCATGCAGCCCCAGCTGCCCCAGGCCCAGGTGTTCGGGCAGCCACAGCTACAGTACATGCCAATCACCATCGTCGGTGAGGAAATACATAGGCAGATTGTCACACCTGGCTGCCTGCCTGCCTGCCTGCCTGGTCTATTCATGTATTTTTGTGTGTTTGTACAGGTCCGCAGATGCATCCCGTCACCGTCCACGCGCGTGTGATTGCGCCGGGCGAAATGATACACAATCCGGGGAGAGAGGCTATCTGGGTGGTTGACCCGGCTACGGGAAGGCCAGTCGTCACCAAGATGAAGTCGACCCCGAGCCCGCTAGCATGGGTGCTATGTGTGTTGTGCCCGGCTTGCTGCTGCTGCGCGCTGTGCTGTCTCCGTGAGATACATCACTACCTGCCCAGCGGCCAGCTGGTGGGCATTCAACGAAGCTGACTGGTGTACAGTACAAGCAGATGTGTGGTCAGTCGGTCATCATCCTACCTCGCTTGCCATGTGGACGGACATACGATGTGGGATGGTATGATGTGAGGAGAAAAAGTGTGTCTGACTGATGATTGGTCGACTCGACTGACGCATCGCATTGATCAAAATGCATATATAGCCATCTCACACGTACGTCAAGAGCCAGCTAGCTATCGACACAGACAAAGAACGAGCACACGTCGCACGTCTCGCACACACTAGTCACACATGGGTCTGGGTCTTCACTCATTCACTGGGGTTCGCGTGTGTCTGTGGGCTGGGCGGGGGGGACTTGCTGTGGCTCGGCGCACCCAGCCGCACCGGCATCGGCATGGTCAGAGGGCTTTCCTCCTCCCCCGCTAGATAGGCCGCCCTCAGCTGCACCATGTCCAGCGTGTAGCTCGATAGGAAGACGATGATGCACAGCACACAAAGCCTCTGACTCGCACCACTGGCATTCAGACGCTCACTGAAAGACACACACACACACACAGGAGGATGAGGTAAGACTGAGTGAGTCTGCTATCTCACGAGTGTGTCTGTGGCTGGCGGTGCACATACATGGCTGAGGCGTGAGGGAGGGCGGGGCTGATGACTATGCTGACGAGGAACACCAGCACGCAGCCGAGCTTGAGCAGTCGCGATGGCATCCGGATGAGGGGGCTCTTGTGCTGCATCAACAGCAGGGTAACTAGAGCCCCGTGGATGAAGGCACACACGAAGAACACACCTGACACACTCCAGACAGACACGTGAGGCCCATTTGATCAACTGGGATGCATCGGTCTCCCTGAGTGTGTCTACCTGCCGATGCCAGATGCACAAGCGACAAGGCAGTCACTTTGTCCATCCTGTCGCCGTACATGAGCATCAAAATATCAGGCTGCAGCGGGATGACCCCCTGGATGAACAGGCCGGCCGTCGCCACCAGCAGAAATCCCCCACTCAGTACGATCCGTGTCCACTTTGCGCGCAGCCTGACTTGCAGATGGCAGGCCATGAGGGTGCAGGGAACCATCACCAAAGCGGTTGCAGAGAAGCCCACTGCATAGATGAACCGCTCTGGTGGGTGATTGCCCGTGAGGCTGATGGTTGGCGCCCACAGCGGCACAGGCGGTGACGAGCCCCGAGGGATACATGTATGGCAGAAGAAATGTGCCGAGAGCTGACAAAGAAATATGGTCGTGAAGGCCGTTAGCCCGGTCACCAGAGGGATATGCGCCACCCAACTGAATGCAGACAGACGCAAACATACAGTACTGACAGGCAGAGAGGTCAGTCAGTCAGTCAGCCTGTGTGTGTGTTCTGCGCGCACCGTTTGGTGAGTTGCTGTGCGATGTGGGCATCGATTGTGGCGAGCCATCGATGATGGAGACCAGGGCCGCCCCGCTGATGACCGACTTCTGATGCATCTGCCGGCGATGAAGGCGACTCCTGCGAATCCATCACTTCACTCGGAGCTCGTCTGCATACAATGTCAAGATGGCCCCTCCACTGACGCACACACAAAGGTGTTGGGGTGTGTTTGTTGAAAAGTGGGAGGGATACACTGTAAAACGATAATTTCAACAAACGCGCTCCTGCAATGGGGCCCTTGCCACACGGCGTGGGCCGCACCACCCATATGTTCATCTATGTATACATGGTGGCCTGCCCTGCCTCTCTCTCTGCCCAGATCCATGTATGTATCCATCGCGTCAGACATGCCCCACTCGCCAGATCTCCAGCTCATCCACCCTCCCCTGACCCCTCAACAACTCCCCCATCTGCCCGTGAGCGGCGATGAACGACCAACAGACCGGCCCCCCAAATCTATGCATTCGCCTCACCGTGGCCTCATACATCCGCAGATCCCCACGTACCCCAATCTTCAACTCGAAGCCCCACCCATTAGTCATGCCCGCCCAAATGGTGCCGTTCGTCGAGCCTCCCCACACTGAGCCGCCATGCGTTGCGTCGAACGACTGGTCCGATGCCGCTAGCGTGATGACGGGCTTGGATGGCATGAGGGCGGAGGTGCGCATGTTGACGTTGGAGTAGTAGCAGGGCGGGGCGTGGCCGCTCGGGAAGCGCTCTGCGATGGTGTCGCCGAAGCACATGACGCGCTCAACGGTCGAGGCCTCGATGTCGAGTTGCTCACAGAAGGCGCCTCCTCTGCGGCCGTCGGCCGTCTTGAGAATGAAGAGGACGGATGAGGGGTTGTCGTCGGCACTCATGTGCTGAAGACACGTCGATTTGTCCCAGCCATCCGTGGACGCGCTGCACATTTTAACGACAGGGCAAGGGATAACAGGATGGATGCATCGATGGCTGCTGGCTCGTCATTCGGTGAATGCCTTTCCTCTCTTACTACCTACCTATAAACAAGCTCCATTGCCTTGACCTTCTGACCGCCTCCCCCTGCAACCCTACCGATCTGCGACACCTGAACCACACACAGGTAACCAGGACGCACCCAGCGATCGCCTCGCCGACAGACACAGCAGACACATCACCTCTTCACTCACCAAGTTGGTCACATACGCCGCATCGTCGAAGATCCTCGAGGTGCCCACAATGGGTACCTGTGGGCAGGTGGGCACGTGCGGGTCGATACCGTACATGCCCAGTGCCATCCGCAGTCCTTCCCGCTCTGCGATGTCGACCCGCGGCAGCCACACCAGATCAGAGAGGCCGCTCTCCCGTGTGAAGCGGCACCGGCGATAGAAGTCGACGCACAGCGAGAAGTGCTCCAGGGGCACGTCGAGCAGCTCTTGCGAGAAACTGAGAGAGAGGGGCAGACGCACGCAAAAGTGAGATGGCCATGAATGCGTGAGCTTTGGGTGGGTGTGAGTTCTGTTCTCACCTATCAAAGCGACGCAATATGGGCGTTTGAGCAGGGATGGCCCGCCCCGTGAGTGTGTCTGTGGTGCTGGCGACCTCCTCACCACACACCTTGACGCTCACTACGCGATTCTCGTCACCATCAGAGATGGGGAATGGTGTCAACACCACCCGCTCCTTCTTGGTCCTGAAGAAAGGCATCACCCACCTCAGCCGCCTCTCCCAATCCAGCTCCTGGAGCCTGATAGACGCCACCTCGTCAGCAAGCGCGGTGCGTGGCTGGTCGCTCGACGCAGATGCATCCTCCTCCTGTGAAGACTCATCGGCTGCAGGGAGAGGCCGCAGCAGATAGTCGAAATAGAAGACGCATGCAGGGTCGTCTTGGTCAAGCTGCCGAGGAACGTGGCTGGCCTCCTCGTGTCGGCCTTCGATAGCCTGCAGCCGTGACAGCACCTTCCGGAACACACCGCTGTCGACGTCAAGGAAATACTCATCATCCGGCACGCTGCATGACGTGCTGCAGGCACCATCACCACCAGCAGCGGCGGCAGCCGCCACCTTGAGCACTCGCCTCTCCCACCGGCCCGAGAACAGCTCATCAAGCCGTGACGATGGGACAGCCCTCAGCGTCTGGCGACGTGCTCGGAACCGACGGCCGCCGACGTTCAGAGCAACGAAAGGTGCCAGGCCGCTCGGCGGCGATGGGTCCCATCCCGCCTCTCGCTGACGCGTTGACAGGGTCTGCCTCATCTCATCAAGTACAGCCCACTGCTGGTCGTTGAAGAACTTCTTCATCGGCGCTTCTCCTATGGCGCTTCTCCTATGGCGCTTCTCGGCATGTGGGACACGAAATGATGGTCAAGGCTCCCTGAGCGGGTATGCTGTCGGCATATCTGACACTGTGGCCTTCCCCGTTCGTTTTCGTTTCGTTGTTTTCCTCCTTCTGTCTCTTCTTCGGGCTCGCCCGAGAGCGCGGTTTCACGGAATTCTGAGCTCGCGTGACCCTTCGTGCTTGGCGAGTTGCGTCGGAGGGTGCGAAGTGACTCAAGACTGCTGGCTCGCCCATTGGGACGGGTGGTCGAGTGAGTAGGACGAATCGATGGGTGGACGGGCAATCGATATGGTGACCCTCATTCGTTACATCTACAGACACAGACACGAGAAGTCAAAACTGCACATAGAGGTTCCTCATTCAACCACGGAACGCCACACAATCGGACACACCCAGCCTGGCAGCCATACGGGTGTCTTTCTCTTCAGTAAGTGCAGGAGTCACATCCGCCTCTCCGATGCTGCTGATGGCTCTCTCTCCTTCACCAGCTTCTGCAGCAGACCCTCACACGCATCTTCCAAAAGATCCAGCACCTGTCACACACACACACGACACAACCACTGCCTGCACACATGACCGATGGAGAACTCCCCTCTGCACACACCTTCTCAAAACCCTTCTGTCCGCCGTAGTACGGGTCAGGCACCGCAGTGACATCACCGTACTCGCGGCAATAGTCGGTCATGAGGACAGTCTTCCTCACGGCCTCATCCAGCCGCCCCCAGGCCCTGGCGGCACGGAAGATCTCTTGTCGGTTCTTCTCCTCCATGCCGATCACCAGATCAAATCGGTCGAAGTCGTCTGGCCGCAGTGGGCGGCTGCGTGAGGTAAGCCGGATGCCCCGTTTCTTGGCGGCGGTGCTCATGCGCTCGTCGCTCGGCTCGCCCTCGTGATAGGAGAAGCCGTCGGGCTTGTACCAGTTGTCAGACCCACCACCAGTGCCGCAGCTGTCTATCTCCACCTGCAATGCATGCAATCGACAGACACCACAGTGACACAATGGATGGATGTGCTGACTGACAATAACTACATCCTTCTGTTTGCTCAAGCACTCACTCACCCGCAGCCCTTTGTCTTGCGCCAGCTTCCTTAAGACGGCCTCTGCGGTCGGCGAGCGGCATATGTTCCCAAGACAGACGAACAGTACAGATGGCTCCGAAGATGGCGACGACAGGGTCATCTGGACCGCCGGCCTCCTGACTCGGTGCGCAAGTGATGGCCGCAGCAGTGGCGTGCGATAAGCAAGGCAGCAGAAGAGTGCAGAGATGAAGATCAGCGCGGCGGCGAGATGACGGAAGGCAGATCTCCTCATGCGATAGTGCTGGACTGCTGAAATCGTGCAGGGAGAATCCAAAACCCAGTCACCTCTAAGCTCGCGATGGTTTGCAGCTCGCAAAACAAACCTCAAAAATCGGTTTGTTAGGCGAGAACGACACACACCAAACGCTCGTAGTCGTCACATTTACACGTCTGTCCCTTTTCTCTCAGTTTCTGTCAGGAGGTGTGCTCGACAGAATGAGCCATCATCATCCCAAGGAGCGGCTCATGTTCGTGGAGCCCCGACGGCCCACATCGTCTGAGCAATCCCATCGCCTCCCGCTGTCCGACACTCCAGAGCCCGACGTACCCGACCTCCCTCCCCAATCATCATCCAACCACAGACGCGTCAGGAGCCGCAACGGCCCCGACTATGACCGCTCATCGCCCTCTCCCACCCCTTCAGACGGCGGCCTCCCGTCCATCCACCCGCCACCGGGCCGCCCGACGTCATCAGGCATACCCAGGAGATACATCGTGGTCGGCAGTGGCGACGGGAGTCCTGGTGCGGCGCAACCGAGCCCTTCTGCGCGCGTCACGAGGTCTGCAGGGTCGAGAAGGCCCAAGGGAGACAGAGAGGCTGTGCCAGCGAAGGGGAGTGGTGAGCCGTCACCGACTGCCGCCGATGCGGTGGATGGCAGGGAGCAGGGGAGAGGTGCTGGTGGTGCGAGGGGTGGAGGTGGTGCTGTGGACGGGAGGGACGGCCGGGCTGCTCCGCGTGGCGGTGGTGCTGGAGGTGGTGGTGGTCGTCACTTAGGTCACATGGATTCCTTGTCTAAGCGGATAGAGGAGCTCAACTTGGACAAGGAGAACCAGGACCTCAGAGGATGGCGGAAAGGTAGGCTCACGTACTAACACGTGACGGCATGCTTGACGCACAGCACACATGTGTGCATGTGTGTTGACGTGCACCGTTCGTTCAGGTGACCGGCTGGGCAAGGGTGCCTACGGCGAAGTGTTCAAGTAAGCTCATCGCCACACGCACACTCACGCAGTGAGAACCTCCTTTGTCAGTCAGTATAGTCACACTGTGCCTCATCCCATCCGCCGCACCACAGGGCGTTGTCGATGAAGGGCAAGATCATGGCCATCAAGGAGATCCCCCTCGGCCCCGGCCTCATGACCGACGAGAGGGATGCCATCGTCCTGCTCCAGGAGGTATGTATGTAGGCAAGAGCGATCGAACAGCCGTGGGTGCAATGCATCCCCTCTTGACCTTCTGGCTGATGGGTGGATTTGCAGATATCGTTCCTGAAGCAGTTCCAGCACGAGAGAATCGTCAAGTGAGTCAACATGAACCACAGACAGACAGAAGGAGCCGCATCGCGCGCCGTGTTCATTCCTGCGCTCATTCCGGCGTGCAGATACCTCGGCTGTCTATTGCACAAGGAGGACACGCCCAGACCCCAGCGGTCGATTGTCATCTTCATGGAGTACATGTCGGGCGGCTCCATACAAACCATGCTGCAGCGATTCGGTACGTTCGCCACGAATCCCTCCCTCAAGTCAATGCATGCATTCATTATACAGCCTACATACGTGCCTGTGTGTGTGTGATTGTTGTGTTGCCTCCTGGTTGGCTGTCTTGTCTGGCTGATTCGATTCACCTGCAGGTCCTCTGCCGCTGCGTCTGGTTCGGAAGTACACACGGGAGATCCTCGAAGGCAAGAGACATCAATCAAGCAGCCGACATGACATTGCACGGGCATCCGGTCTGGTGCGGGTGTGTGTGCAGGTCTGGCGTATTTGCATGACAAGGGGATCCTCCACCGGGACATTAAGGGCGCCAACATACTCGTCGACGGGGTGAGTGCGTGAGCCACTCACGTCACGGCATCGACAAGACACATGCACACCGCACAGTGTGTTGTGCTCATCCTTTGCCGTTCTCTCCTTGCTTCAGAATGGGAATGCGAAGCTGTCTGACTTCGGTGCGTGCCACAAGGTGGAGAACCTCAAGAGCTCGACGCTCAAGGACGGCCCCACCATCCCCATCAAGGGGTCCATCTACTGGATGGCTCCCGAAGTCGTCCACGAGAAAGCCGGTAAGTCGATTTGACCCTCTCCCTTTACGTGTGTGCATCAATACGTGCATATCTGTTTGTGTGTTTGTTTTCAGGTCGTCGCAGCGACATCTGGAGTGTGGGCTGTGTGGTCATCGAAATGATGACGGCCACTCACCCATGGTACACGCCCATACACTCATCCATCCATCCATCCGTGTGTGTGTGTGTGTATGTATGCGTGTGTGTGTCTTGTAGGCCTGATTTGGAGAACATGACAGTGTTCGCGGCCATCGAGGTCATCTCCAACACCAAGACAGGGCCCCCACTGCCGCCTGCCGCTCAGGAGGACCCCGACCTCAGGTGGGTGCCTAAGCTTTCCCTGCAAACCAGCACGACAGACAGACTCCACCCATCGATCATCGTGGCCTGCCTTCATGGCTGTCATGTCATGTGGTGCTGACGTGCAGGGAATTCCTGGCGCTGTGTTTCCGCAAGGTCGCCGCCCAGCGGCCACACGCCAAGGTGGGCGAGGCAGGCGTGCAGATGTGGAGAAAATATCGCGTGTACATCTGGATACATGTGTGTGTGTGTGCCTTCAGGACCTTCTCAAGCACCCCTTTGTAACCCATCAGGACAGCGATGAGGACGACGGATGAGCGGAGCGATCGATATCTTATGGCGCACAGACAGACAGACAGACGGACGGACAGAGAGGTCGGATGGGCATGGATGGGCACGTGATACGTAGCTGGGCAGCTAGCCAGCCCCCAAAGAGTAGCACAGGATGTAGATTAGCCGCCCGCTCCCTGCCAGGGCGGGCGACACGGGCATCGTGTGTGAGTGTCTGTGGAAATGGGACGGTGTGTCCGGGTGGACCGACAGACTGACCGAGGTAGTGGCCGACGGATATTGGTGTGGGGGGCGGTGTTTCTGTGCGGCTCGGGCCGGTGTTTTCTGTGCGGCATCCAAGGGTATGTATGGGTGTGCTGCTCGCGTGTGTGTACAGCTGCCGCCTGAGACAACGTGGACGTCCGGATGGACGAACGGCGAGGTGTCCGTGTTATTTATAACCGTGCATCGTCTTTGTCAGACACTGCCTGTATGTGTGCGTGTTGCGTCCGCGTGTGTGTGTGGTCAATCCTCACTGTTTGATTTGTTTGATGTACCTATCTATCTCGCTCGTCAGCCAACACGTCCGTACTTACTGTACATAGGCATGCAACGCAATGCAATGCAATGCAATCGGTCAGCCCAACAGCACATCCACTCCACACACCACGCGAGCCAGCCACATCACGCAGGCAGGCACCTCTGGCCGGTCCGGTCGGGTCGAGCAGCACACACAACTGGTGGGCAGCGCACACACACTCAGGCATCGGTGGATCGGATCTGTCATGTCAGTCAATCAATCGCTGGCTACATGCGTTGCATATAGGCAGATAAAGCGCGTTTGTCAATGTAGAGGATAGATAGCACAATAGCGTTTTACAGAGCTATGGTATGGATGAAGGGGAGTCCCGTCTCGTCCGTCCGTCCGCACCAACCACGCCCACACACACATACTCCCTCCCCGCCACACGCACGCACCCAGCGTTACGCACAAACGTACAAACATACATCGTACGCAACGTATTAGCTTGCCTTTGCTCAGACAAGACCTACTGCAGACAGACAGACGCCCACCGGCCCCCAGCAACCAACCAACCAACCAGCCAGCAACAAAAGGAACGCAGGAAGGATAGGTAGGCGATGATAAAAATATCACCAACACGCAGGCAGACAGACAGACAGACCCGGCCGCCGAACACGAAAACCCAATCCAATCCCATCCATCCATCCATCCTCCTTTGACCAATCACTGCCCCACTCCCTTTCCATCGGGATAGCAACGATACAATACCGCTGTTTGTGTACA